ACTCAACAGGCAAGAAGAGGCTGGAAAGAAGTATTCAAAGTCAAGAAAGGCAAGGAGCTACATCCAAGATTACTCTATCCAGCAAAGCTACCATTTAGAATGGGAGGGCAGATAAAGTGCTTCCCAGACAAGGTAAAGCTAAAGGAATACATCATCACCAAGACATTATTATATGAAGTGCTAAAGGGACTTATTTATGAAAAAGAAGATCGAAACCATGAACATTAAAATGACAATCACAACTATCAACCTAAACAACAACAACAACAACAACAAACTAAGCAAAGCAATTAGAATAGGAACAGAATCACAGGAATGGAGATCACATGGAAGGTTATCAATGGGGAACAGGAGTGGGGTGAATGGGGGAAAGCATACAGGGAACAAGAAGCATAAATGGTAGGTACAAAATAGATGGGTAAGTTAAGAATAGCAGAGGAAATGGAGAAGCCAAAGAACTTATATGTATGACCCATGACATGAACTGGTGGCGGTATGCTGGTGGGAGGGTGGGTGCAGGGCAGAGAGGAAGAAAGGGGAGAAAAAAATGGTACAATTGTAATAGGATAATCAATAAAATAGACCTAAAAAATAAAGTAAATTTAGCCCTCGCCCTAGGGCCACACACACAGCAATGTGAAGTATTAAAATTGGTATTTAAACCAAAATTTAGGCAACTGACAGTTACAGAAAAATGTGCCTTTATTTTCCTTATTACTCCAGCATAAGACAGCAAAAAAGGTCAAAAGAAGGGGGATGGGAGAGCATAAATAAAAGGCTATAAAATGTTCATTGAGAGTTCAAATGACCAAGGTTTAAATGAACCTTGTGAAAAGTCCACCTGGGCTATCCTGCTGACACTTGGGCCTCTAACCACTCAGTTTTCTCTGCTTCCTACTCTCATTTTCGTTAGGTTCCTCTCACCTAAAGCGCTACCAATGCCTTCCAAGTTGGCACCCAGCACTCCCCAGAATTCAACTCCTTCAGCCTTCTCCCCCCACCTGCAACTGAGAAAGCATGGTTCCTAAAGTATAGGACACTCAACAATGCTACCCCACTGTACCTAAGAATAGCTACCTTCCCTGGGCCTGTGCTGTGCGCCTCTACCCTCAGCTCTGAGAGTCAATGCACCTCTGCTCTCTGTGCACCTCAGTGATTCATTTGAATCAGCCCTCACTAAGCTGTTGACCTCCTGAGGACAAGCCCAAGAGTTTCTCACCTGTACCTCCCACAGCCTCTGACACCACACTCCATATACAAATAAATGTGTTGCATGAGTACAGGCTCCCCATCCAGTTCAAAGTTCCAACACACTAGGCCACATTTCACAACTCAACATTTCCCTCGAGGTGCTTTCAGAACCTAAATCTCAACAAATACCGTAAATGTCCACACTCTGTAACAGGCCAACCTTTCCCTAGAGTGTAGATGGTTAACAAGCTGAACGTGGGAAGGCCTCTTCCATGGAAACAGGAAAAAAAGCTACGGAAATGTGACACCAAAGGGGAGGAAGAAAGGACAGGAGCACTTAAGCCACAATTAAATGCAGCTGTCGTTCTGTTTGCTTTCACTTCCCAGATTTTGCAGAAAACACAGGTTTCCCCAGGGTAAGAAAGAACACTTGAGAAAAGCTCCAAATGCATTCAATCTGGCCATTAAATAATTGTTTCTCTCGCTCTCCCCACAGACATTCTCAGGCAAAGGTTTCTCCAATCAGCTAGGAAAGTGGAAGGACGCTGCTAACCACTAGAAAATTGCAATTTTCTAGCTATTTCTGTAAAGTGTCTATGCTTTCAAATACAAGAATATCTTATTTTGTTATCCTCAAAACATGCTAACTGATCTGAGGCCCTACTACACATGTGACATACCTAATCAGTGTCTTCCAAACTTAGAAAACCACTCAAGTATGAAACAATTTGGTATTGCAACCAGCTTTTTTTAAGAAATAAAATACATCACACAACTACTTCACCAAGTAATAAGGATTAGGACTATTTCTAAAATTTTTGTTTCATGTTTTGATGTAAAATATATTTCTTATGTGAGTTACAGTCCAGAAAAGTTTAAAATTGACAAAATTTTGTAATAAAAATAAACCAAAATCTATTTCTTCTTAAATTATAACTACATAAACTCTAAGCTGATCAGGGTCCCTGCCTCCAACTAAAGTTTGATTTTCTTTTAATCTTAATTAACTTGAGTGAAATGCCACCATGTTCAATGAAGGACAAGTTGTAGTTAAATCCACAAATTAACCTAATTTCTTCTTGTCTATTTGTAGTTACTGCATTCTGTTCATTTCTATTTTTTCCCCTATGCTAATATAAAGCTGGGGTGTGGGGGTTAAAAAAAAAAAGTTTTTGGCAATTTTCATTGTTTAATGTTTATTAAAAATAATAAGGCATTCAGATTTACAGTCATCAATTACCCAGGGACTGGCACATGAGTGTTCAATAACTGCTGATTGACTAAATAAAATATCAATCTCATATTCCTAATTTCTTCAGCAAACCCAAGTTAGAATGAATTAAACATTAATTTATGCAAAACTAATAATTAAGCAATAATACAGCATGGTGAGGAGTCCGATCTTAGAGGCGGGAAAAAACCTGGTTTTCAAGTAACAAATTAGCCACATAACACTATCTCACCTTGGTCAATTCAGATAGTCTCTACTGGTTTCCACATCTAGAAAACAGCATAAATACCTATGCTTCAAGTGGTATCAGTAAGAATCAAGAGGCATAAAAATGATTTGCAAGCCAGTAATAAATGATGTTTATACTAAAATGTTTCATTCAGGTTTATTTTCTTAAGCATCTTTGCCTAGGCTACCAATTCACTCTGCTGTCTTTCTGAAATTAAGCCAACTCCTTATAAACCCTGGTCAGGAGGTAAGAGAGGGTAAAAAAGGAAGGAATGTTGGATGTATCAGGACAGGTCACAGAAGGGTTAGTACTTCTGTTTCATTCTAGAGAACAGGCAAAGGCAGGTGTGCCTTTAACTTAATCCTCAACAACAACTGTAAGGAAAGCCTCCCTGGACAGCAGCAGCTGCTAATTCAAAGAAAATATATGTGCTTGTTTTTTGTGGGGGTTTTTGGGAGGGTAGGGGCAAGAAAGGAATGTTGTACCCACAAATGGCACATTAAAAACAAAGTCTGTGGATGCATGATACTAATATAGTATCATAGACTGTCAGAAGTCACCTTCCCACCTCTGAAACTGTAACAGCTGCAAATTTGGTTGTTTCAAAACTTATCAGCTATTATACTGAGAAAGCAAAATAAAAACCATCCCTTGTAACATTATCTAGGAAATACATTATATTTGGGAGGCAAAAGTATTAAAGGAAATTCAAAGTATTAAAGGAAATTCGTGTTTTCGCAAGGTGTAAAAGTGTTGGTCCACACTCTTGGGAGAGAGAAAAAGTGAGGACAAAAAAAAGAAGAGACTAGATACCGCCTGGTAATCATCTGATACTGACTTCAGAGCACCAGTGGGGCTTTATGTACCTTTTCAAACTTATTCTTTCTACAAAGGCCAAAGTAAACTCTAAGGAAGTTATTGTGCTAGATTGCAACCTTTATTAATACAGGATAAAAGTCAGCCTAAAGGAAGTACTGAATAAAAGTTTTTGACGTTTTTGTTTTGATTTTAATCATTACAAGAGGCCTTCTTGTTCTCTTGGTCCGGAATAGCAGTTTAAAAAAAACAAACAAACAAACAAACAAACTTGGACTAAAATTCTGGCTACATTATGTTACTATTTTTCTATCTCAAACCTGAACAATGAAATCCAGTTTTCTTTTTATAGTTTAAAAAATTGAGAGAAAGAGCTATATCACATGAGGGTAACAGATTCCCGGCCCTCAAAAGCGAGAGAAAAGGAGCGGATAAATGTTCGTGAGATAAATAATCCACTTGGACACTATGGTTGCTTTCTTAGGCTCACTTGTTCAGCTAAACTGGGAGAGTAAAACTTTAAAGACAGACCCTAACTGCATCGTGAGATTTTAATCCTAACCATTTTGCCATCATTTATGCGCTTACAAACATTACAAACTAGCCAAGGATGGTTGTTTCATTTTTCAAAGAGCGAAAAACAGTCCCCAATGAAGAAAAACTTCAATGCATTCATGTAAATTTGAAATTCAACTTCTCCCCACCCTCCAAAAAAGTCACTAGTAGGCCAAGATGCCACAAAGTATCAACGAAGAGGTTTACTGGGAAAGAACTCATCTAAATCCAATCAAGTCTCAAATTAAAAAAACTCAGTGTCCCAGGATCCCGCAGGTCAGCCTCGTCTCCGGAGACTCGAGTGCAAGTTGTCCGACTGGTTCCTTGTTCCAGACTTAAAGGCTTGCACTTTCCCCCTGCCTGCACTAAAAGGAAAGGTGCGGAACTAACGCTGAAAGTAGGGCTAGCAGTTACACCTTCCTCCACCCCACCCTGCCTTCTTCGCCCGGCCCAGCTCAGGACGAGTCCCGGCGCACACCTGGCTTCCCTCCCGCCTCTTAACTTTACCGCCGGCTCGCCGGGAGGGGGACAGAGGCCACCATTACCCCACACCCCCGCCCGCACGCAGGGCCCAGAGACCGCGCCGAGGCCTCCAAGGGCATCTTCCCACATCACTTCTCCCTCGGAGCTAGGGCCGGCGCTGGGCCTACAGCTCAGAGGCGTTGGGGAAAGAGGGTAGCGGGGAGGGCAAGGCGACAGGCACACCATTCTCCCCTGACCACTCGGACTCTGAGCCAGCAAAGGGCCGCCTCGAGGCCGCGGCCTCAGGTGCCTGCTGCCCCCACCCCCAGGCCTGAGAGCTGGCCGCCGCGCCGGGCAGGAGCGCCCTGGGGGGCTGGAAGGACTTCGCCAGAATCCGGTGCGACCCCGAGGAAGGCAGCGTGGGGGATGAGGGGCCCGTGTTTACACCTCCAAGTTCCCCGCTTCCGCCTCGGCCCGCGCATCTCTCCCTCCCACCCCTCGGCGGCTCCTGCCTACCTGCATGCCGGGCAGGCCCGGCTGCACTGGAGAGTGAGCCATGGCGGTCAGGACGGCCACTTCCTGGGACGGGACAACCGGGCCGCGGCGATTCACGCGGGCGAGGAGGCCCGCGGACCCCGCGCAGCCAAAGCCGGCCAAGCCCGAGTCCGGCTTCGGCAGTGCCGGCCGGAGCCCGAGGCCACCCCAGCCCCCGCGGGTACAGGGCCAAACGACGGCTCAACGGCGGGTGGTGGACGGTGTCTCCATGCACACCGCTAAGCAGGGGCTGCGAGGAGCGCGGGGCCTCGCCTCGAGCTGCTGCCGCCTCCGCCGCCGTCACCGCTGCAGTGGCTGCTCGTCTGGAGTCTGGCGGCCTGGAACCGGAGTGGGCGCGTACAAACAGCGGAGCCCGAGAGCGCCCAGCTCAGCTCAGCCCAGCCCAGCCCAGCCCGCCCCGCCTCGGCCTGGCCTCCGCACCCGCCTCTGCAGCCTGGCCGGGGACCCCGCCCCGCGCTTCCGGGAGGGGGAGGAGGAAGAGGCTCGAGGCCACCCGGCGCCGTAGGCCGCAGCCGCCTGCGCCCGCCGCCTGCCGGGGCTGGCGGGGATCCGAGGGTCGCTAGCCAGATGCCCCCCGCCCCCAGTTGGCGGAACGGGGAGGAGGAGGGCTGCTGGGTTCGCGAAGCGGGCTTAAGCCGGGTGTTCCCTGTGCGTGGAGAAGTGGGTCCCCCCCGACCCCGCCCCCCTGGCCCGGGCCCGGTCGGGAGCTTAGAGAGCCTAGTGAGGAAGGAGCGGTTAGCACCAACTCTTACTCTACCATCTTTCTCCTGCCCTCCAAGCAAGTCCCCTCTTCCCTATCTACCCGCCGGAAAACAGGATCTGGGCAACTCCCCGAGGGCAGTCGGGATCGAGAGACTTCTGGGGGAAGAGTGCCCATTAGGGCCTCTGAGAGAGGCCGCGTCAGAACTACCTGGGCGGAGCTTCTTAAGTGTCTGGGTGAAGTTTCCAACCAACCCCAGGAGGAAACCGAGGAGGGAGAGACCGAGAGCTCTCAGTGTTAATTCCCAGTGTTTCTGCCACTTTAAAACAGCCCCGCCAGAATGCTAGGCGCCGTAAACTTAGCGAACGAGTGAGTAAGGGGCTGAACTCTAACGCCTCTGGGCTGTGGTATGAAGCTGTAGAGTCCACCACGAGAAGGGGAAACGGAGGGAGGGGCGAGGAAAAAGGGAGGACAATCGAAGGAAGCCTGTCTAAGGCTTTTCCCCAGCCCACTCCTTTGCCACTGCCCACAAAAGCCCCAGGCAGCTTAGGGCAACAGTTCTCTCTCCACAATTTAGCCCCCTATTTTCCAGAGGAAAGAAATAAGAAGGAATGAGATAGTCCTGCCTCCAGAAAGCATTTTATTTATAATCATAGAGTGGTAGCCACTGAAGTTATCTGTACTACCACGTATTGGGACGCTGACACCTCCTCGATGTCATGAACGCCCATGTTGCACCATTACTGTGAGAGGTTGAACATACAAAAAAAGAGTCCCAAAGAGTTTACAGACTATGGGAGGAAACTCTAAAAAGCCCTCCACTGAGATAAGGAGTGTTTATTTTCTGAGGTGTCGTTGTACTCAGAGAATTTCAGTTCCCTCCTGTTCTCTGGATCACACAAGGCATGGATACTAAAACCTATTAATATCTGCTTTCCCTTGGGAAATATGCGGGTTTTTTCCTCCAGGGTTCTCCAGGACACATTCAAATACCTTCATCGTTGTCACTGGCACTACACTAACTTCACAAAAGCCTTTCCAGCTCCAAGTACTGTGAAGACAGTGTGGCAAAGCATGAATGCTGGTACCTAGGAGTTTATCGTCTTGTGTAAATTTTGTGTACCTAAATAATGGGTGTATAGAAGATGAACAGCAAAACAAGCAAGAGCATGACTATTTAAAATGTTCATAATATTCAACCCAGGAATTATACTTACGGTAACATATGCTAAGGAAACAACCAAAAAGTACATAAGAATGGATCTAAAAAGATGCAATGCAGTGATATTTATAATTGTGCGAAAACTGGGAACAGATTAAAAGTCTAACAAAGATTGTTAAGTATATGATAGTATATTCATACAGTGAGTACCACATAGTCATGAAAAATATATTTCAATATTAAATAATACAGAAAAATATTTTCATTTTATATCATGAAAAAAATTCAGGATACAAAACAATATGTACAGCCTGATCTCAAGGTATTTCATATGTATGAAGTTATATTTAAATATATATCATTTACATATATGTGTAATTTTACACATGTATATGTGTAAACAGAAAAACCTGAAAGTATATAAACCAAGATTTAGCAGTGGCTATCTCTGGAATTAAAGATGATTTTTTCAGTCAGTAGAGACTATCATAAAATATCTCTCCTTCAGGTCAGCAGTCAGGGCAATAACATGGCAGCAAGATAAGGAGGGAGAAACAGGACAAATGGACAGAAATGTTTGGACACTAATCTCAGGCATTGCCATAGGAAACTCTCAAAAAACACTGGGGCTTATTTTGCAGTGGGCTAATTTCCAACAAATAAGCCACAGGGGCATTGGACCATAATAATCTGGGTATAAAAACTAATCCAAGTTCCTTTCGGTATCCAGAAGCTAGTGAGGTTAGGAACATGTGGGTTACAGTGGGATATAATCTATCTAGACACTAACTTGCATTCATTACCTGGTCTATTTCCCTATACCCTGTTTATCTCCTCACCACAACTGAACTTCATTTCCTCCTTTTACTATATTTATACTATTAAACACCATCCTTCTTGAAAGAGAAGAAGCAAAATAGGAATAGTGTTCCACTCAGTCATATGCAGTCATTACTCAGTATTCCCAGGACAGTGGCCCTCTCCCTTTGTTTTAGCAGAGCAGAGATTGTTGACAGGGCCTGAACCCAGAAGTTCATCACATTCATTCATACACTAACACAGTTACATGTGCCACATGCCAACTACATGTCAGACATTTCATCCAGTGTTAGGGATATAAATACTAGATTATCAGATGCCTCTTATCCTATCCTATGGACATGGCCTCCCAGAATCCTAATTTAAGAATTTTACAGTAACACAATTGATTAAATTTAGTTACCATAGTTATATTTCTACTAAGGAAAAAAAGGAATTATCCTTTCATCCTCTTCCTCTCATCACTTTTCCTCCACCCTCAATTTACAATTACAAAAGATCACAGTCTGTAATTCCAGAAGGAGAGATTTTGAGGGTCTCCATAGAAATTACGCATTTCCTGGTCCCCAAGGAGACACTAACCAATGGAATTATTTTCATCCCCTGGCCCTTTTTGTCTTTTTTTGACCTAAAGACATGAATTGGGCTCTGACACATATTTGGAACCACAAAGGACATTTCCGTAACCCTGTATAAAGGTGCTCCATATATAAGGCACTGTTCATTGACTTCCCCTGAGTCAGCTCATAACCTCAGCAGAGCTCAGAATGCAGCCAAAAACAAGACTTCAACAATCAATCTCTTCACTCCTGAGTTGAAAGATAAGCGCCCCCAAATGCCACTTTATAAAGAACAAGACAAGTAGCGCATTAGCAATTTAAATTTACAGATTAATGAAAAAGACTGACATGGTGAACTTTAAAGAGCGAAATGTGAGTAGCTTGGATAAGTAACAGAAGGCTTGACAAATTTCTACACCTGTTCAGCAGGTAAAGACGCTGAAGAGGAAGACAGCTTATTAAGATCAGTATAAAGAAGCATGATTTGTCATAGGTGGATGATGTGACAGCAAGAAAATGTATGCTAAAGCCTTCAGAAAAGATCCATATACATTGTGGAATGGTGAAAAGACAGTTTCATTCTATGGGTGTAAGGCTCAGAGCACAAGCTCTCACAGCAACATCACTCTTAAGTCAGTTTTTGGTTGCACCCTGCATTGGTTTGCTCAGGCTGCCATTACACAGTACCATGTGGGGGGTGGCCTAAATATCAGAAATTTATTTCCTCATAGTTTTTGAGGCTAGAAGTCCAAGATCAAGGTGTCAGTAAGGTTTGTTTTTTCAAAGGCCTCTTTCTTTGGCTTTAGATGGCCATTTTCTCCCTGTGCCCTCACAGAGTCTTCCATGTGTGTATGTGTGTGTGTGTCCTGATCTCATATTTTAAGGACACTCACCATATTTGATGAAGGCTCACACTAATGACTTTATTTTAACTTAATTACCCCTTCAAAGACCCTGTCTTCAAATACAGTCACATCCTGAGATACAGGGACTCAAAACTTCAACATATGAATTGGGGCGAAGAGACACTCATGATTCAATCCATAACACATCCATTTTATTGTACTACATATGTGTTTCTGATCAGTATTCTGTAACTGGTTCCTCCAGGCTCAGCTCCATGAGCAAGAGCTTCCTTTGTCCTCTCCCAAGTTCTGTGGACCTTGCTACATACTTCACATTTCTGCTATAAGGCATTGCTTCGTATTTCCTTGGGTGGAGTATTTAAACTTTATCTCCCTTAGAAACCAGAGCACTAATCTCCAATCGCCATACAACTGGGAGCAGAAGCAGGGAATAGAAGCAGGTATTTGCTTGGTAAAGTATCTCTAATGATAAGGAATCATTTGGAATGGCAGAACCTGCCAGAAAAGAGTTCAGAGTAGTTAGCTGGGAGTATATAACAAATAGGCATTTCATCCAAAAGGTTATGCTTTAATAAGGACTGTCTTTCTCTCTGTATAGTGCCTCCTTCACCCATGAATGTCACTGTACTTGGAGGTGAAATTTACCAGGAGGACTGGGGTCTGAGATTCCAACTGGGGGAGGGGAGTAGGGAGTGGCTTTTAGGTACACATTCCTAGTATGGAAGTTCCAGAGGCTCACACTAGAGAAGTCTAGGCTGTTTAGAAGAGTGCTCTAGAACAGGCTCACTAGAAAAATTTTCACACCCAGTTTTTGGCAAAGAGCCAATTAACAGGGTTTGTCACCCTCCAAACAGTGGCCCCTTGACCCTGCCAATCAGCTTATAAAGGCTTCAGCATACAAAGACTCATCAAGCTCTGTGTGTGTGAATTTCCCTCCTTCCAATATCTGGATATATCTGTGTTTGCTTTCAGATATATCCAGAAAGGGCATAAATGAAATCATTCCCAGAAGGGTGATGTCATCCATCCTACAGTTTACAAAAATTGCAGTACCAGTTCTTAGAAGCCCTTGGTCCTACAAGGATGACAAATTGTGGGAAATTATTTTAATTTCACTTCAAAGAGATCAGGGAATTATGCACTCAAAGAGGATTATATAACCACACAAAGGTAAAATATGCCTATGAGTTATAGGCATTTATTCCTAATACACATAACTGAGTATTCTTGGAACCTTCATGAAAATA